CAGGGAGCCCGATGCGGGGCTGGATCCCAGGACCCTGGGATCATGACCTGAGCCGAAGGCAGACGTTTACCTGAGCCACCCAGGCGCCCCCCCAATACTTTCACAATGGTCCAAGAGCTATCGGTATTAAATCAGTGTAAAGCCACACCGTGGATTTCCCATTCCCATCTGTTTACAAAATGCTCCAAGGAGACTACTTCCAAAAAATGCTAAAAGGCTTATCTGCTGGTTCTGAAGTTCTACTTGAACTTCACTGTGCCTGTCTAATCACTACTGGCCACACTTCTAGTGAGCAAGGACCACTTTCAGCCAGGTTGTTGGGCAGTGGAAATGGTTTTTTTATGATCCAAAATTTAATTGGAGAGGACTTGTAATACTGACTGTGCACTTTTTTTCTTGAGAGGGGGAGGGGCAGAGGGAGAGAGAGAGAATCCCAAGCAGGCTCCATGCCCAGTGAGGAGCCCAAGGCCAGGCTCAGTCTCACGACCCTGGGATCATGACCTGAGCCGAAATCAAGAGTCGGACACTTAAGTGACTAAGCCACCCAGGCGCCCCAGACTATGCACTCTTTTACTTTTAGTAATCTCTACATATAATGAATGTGGGGCTTGAACTTACAACCATGAGATCAAGAGTCACCTGTTCTCCCAACTGAGCCAGCCAGGTGCCCCTGATGTACTCCTGAACGAGCACTTTGCTCATTACACTGTGGTGTTTACCCTTTAGCAACTGTATTAATTTCATAAAAACCCCAATGAAATCACACAGGCCCACAGTAGGATTACATGAAGCTGACATCAGGCTGCCATTCCTAAGATCTTTCTGCTTGGGAGTAGCGGGGATTGCCAAATTCTGTAAACCGTTTCATTTATTTTTCTGAAGATTTTTATTTATTTGAGAGAGTGCAAGCAGGAGGGGGGAGAGGGAAAAGCAGACTCGATGCAGGACCTGATCATGACCTGAGCTGAAGGCAGCTGCTTAACCAACTGAGCCACCCAGGTGCCCCTAAAACTTTTTTTTTTTTTAAAGATTTTATTTATTTATTTATTTGAGGGAGAGAATGAGAGAGAGAGAGAGCATGAGATGGGGGAGGGTCAGAGGGAGAAGCAGACTCCCTGCCGAGCAGGAAGCCTGATGCGGGACTCGATCCCGGGGCTCCAGGATCATGACCTGAGCTGAAGGCAGTCGCTTAACCAACTGAGGCACCCAGGCGCCCCACTTTTTTTTTTTTTAAGATCTTTTAGTTATTTGAGAGAGAGCACAAGCAAGGGAAGTGGCAGAGGGAGAGGGAGCAGACTCCCCACTGAGCAGGGAGCCCCCTGGGATCATGACCTGAGCTGAAGGCAGACACTTAACCCACTGAGCCACCCAGGCACCCCAACCCCCAAACCTTTTTAAATAAAGGTGCTCTATATGAAGTTCATGGCCATTGGTGTCTCACAGATCTGTGTATTGATTTGGGTTATCTTTGATAGATGACCCTAGAAGTTACTGAACCTTCCCCTCTGGTTTCTCCTCTGCAAGTGGGAAATGACAGAAGTGAGACAGCTTGCAGTTTATTCCTGTCCCCTCAGGAGACAGAAGGGCATCCCTTTGTGCAAGCCAAGGAGTTACGCCCATCTCGGGGAACGAGGGCCTGGTTTAAGCCAAGTTGAGAAGTAAAATGATTCGTGTCCTTTCACATTGGGTGAGGGGGAAGAACCGCTGTGAAATTTAGATCGGTTTAAGGATAGGCCTTGGATTACATTTACAAGAGAGACAAACCAGAGCAGTTTCATAGTTCTGTTATCCTTTTTGAGACTACGGATGTTCAATGCCACCAGCCTTTTTGCCTCAAGAGAAGAAACTTCAAAGGGCACGCACAACCAGTGACTAAGGCCCATCTATGTAACAGCAGTGACGACGGGCGCAAACAATTCAGAGACACCATTTTTTTGCTTACTGAGCAATTTATTGGTTTCTAATTCTTATATTGACTTTTCATAAATATTCATCTCACATCTCTAATAAAGGTCCTTCAGAGCAGGGCCCATCTCTTACTTTTATCATGAATTAGCACCTGGTACACAGGAGATGCTCATCGAGTCTTTTACCATCTAGTAAATTCCCTCTGGCCAATGCTTCCCCCAGTGAGACGGTTCAAGGGTTTGCAGGGAAAACAGACCCAGCAGTATCATTTCAAGAGGGAAGTCATCTTCCACTTCTTTGGATTATATGAAAGTGTAACTGTTGCTTGCTACCCTTTAACACATGCTAGCTTTCCTTGCCCACAGATTTAGAAACCTCCAAAGGAATAGTATTCATCTGAAATGTGTTTATTTCACTATATTCATTTCTTACAGATAGCATCTATCTATAGCAATTTATAGATCTTCCATTTATGGGAGTGACACCAAGTTGTTTTTTTTTAATATATTTAAGGAGTAGTAACTCAATTTAAAGGAAAAACAAAAACAAAAAACCCTCAAGTAACAGAGGTGGAACACAAATGAGGTTAAAAAAAAAAAAAAAAAGACCAACACAAAAAAACTCCAAACAAACTATAAAGGTGATTCACCAAAGACTAAAGATTGGGAAAATAATGCCCTAGGCAAAACGTCCTCATTCTTGAGGGGCCAGTGGGAGGGCGTCCAAGGGTGCAGGCCTATCAGATTCACGAGGCCTTGGAGCACAGTCCACAGATGCGACAGAACCAACGTCGCGTTCACAAGATTCTGCTACATCTTGTGAGGATCACACACCATACGCAGTGTGCTACCAAAGCAGGTCAAAAACCGAAGCCAAAGCCAATTCTTAAAACTTAAAAAAAAAAAAAAAAAATCCTGTATAAAGCAAGGTATATCCCAATATTAAGCTGCTCTCAGAAAAAAAATAAAAATAAAAAGGGCATTCAGCCACCTGCTGTATTTAACAAGTGAAGTATCATCAAAATCTAATTAGCCAACTTTTATTATTTCATCTGCAGTGTAGAGACTTCACAGCCACTTGGGGCAATGTACAACTTCTGCAGCCTGCGAACCAAGGCAGAAAAAGCCATACAACTCTAGAAGACAAGCCCACGAGGTACACTTTGTTGAAGCAAATGGCTGGGTCTCTTCACTGAAGTTTCCAGCATGTTCCAGTAACACACACCCTAGTTCTGCTTACAAACAAAAGGAGAAAAAGAGCAATGCGTTATGAAACCCATCCCTTGCAACAGGGAGGAGGGTCATTCTGTGGGAAGGACATCTTTGGGTTCTGCATCAGTCTGTTCTGCTTTGGCTTCGGTGACGGCCGGAGCCGGGGCCGCGACCCTCACAGTGCCTTCTGCCTCTGCTGCGGCCGCTTGCACTTCCCGTCCGGCCTCCGCGGCTTCCCCTCCGGCCTCCGCTTCAGTGCTGCCCTTCTCAGAGGCCCTGCCACCCGGTGTCTCCACTTCCAGCGGCTGTTCAGAGTGGGGACCGCGAGGGGCCTGGGCCGCGTCCACAGGGCCTTCCCCTTCGGCCAGCGTGTCACTGCCTTCTGGAGCCGGCGCTCCTTCCCCATCTACCGCTCTCACTGCTGCCGTAATGACCTCAGCCAACACCTCCGCGGCCACCTCCTCGGGTGTCTCCTCCTTCTCCTCGCCTCCTAAATTGTCATCCCCTTCGATTTCTGGATCGACAGCCTCACTGGTGAAAGGGTCTTCACCCTGGCCAAGAAGAGCAACATGTCAGTGCAAAGGGGAGACTGAAGGGGGCCCAGGTTGCCGGGAATCCGTGTTTTTAGGCTGAAGAGCCAACGAGAGAAACACGTCCCACTACAGGTGAGTGCTTCCCATGGGCGCTCAGCGCCTTCAAATTCAGAAGAGGTTCTCAGAAAAGTCTCACCACAACCGTTTTCGCACCTTTTGCCTTTTAGCTTTTATTTTCTTACTTAGTTAGCTAGGACCTAGAGCAGAATGGGAAAGCGGAATCAGGGGCTATTCTTGTTTTTTTTTTTAAAAGATTTTATTTATTTATTTGACAGAGAGAGACACAGTGAGAGCAGAATCACAAGCAGGGGGAGAGGGAGAGGGAGAAGCAGGCTTCCCGCGGAGCAGGGAGCCCGATGCGGGGCTCGATCCCAGGACCCCGGGATCATGACCTGAGCCGAAGGCAGACGCCCAACGACTGAGCCACCCAGGCGCCCCTCTTGTTTTTAATACTAGTAATTTTGATATTCGCAATGGGTTTTTGAAAGATGTACTTCTCCCCCCTCATTCAAAGGCTTTTATTTTTGGATGAAGTATTTACAAATATTTATTATTTTAAAGATTTTTAGTTATTTATTTGAGAAAGAGAGAGAGGGATGCCTGGGTGGCTTAGTCGATTAAGAGTCTGCCTTCGGCTCAGGTCATGATCCCTGCTCAGTGGGGAGCCTGGTTCTCCCTCTGCTGCAGCTCCCCCTGCTTGTGCTCTCTCGCTCTTTCTGACAAATAATATAATCTTAAAAAAGAGAGAGAGCAAGAGAGCGAGCATGGAGGAGAGAGGCAGAGGGAGAAGCAGACTCCCCGCCAAACAAGGAGCCCGATGTGGGACTCAATCTCAGGACCCTGGGATCATGACCTGAGCCGAAGGCAGACGCTTAAGGGACTGAACCACCCAGCTGCCCTGATTTACAAATAGTTAATACAACTGCCCCCGTTTTGCACTTTTTATTCAAGCATATAATAGTGAAGAAAAGTTCAAAAAGACCTAGGATTTCTTAACCCAATTGAAACAAAAAAGCCTCGTAACAGGAAGTTAAGACTATTTTAAATTTTAGTTTCATTTAAGCACAGCCCTGGTTATAAGGGTGCCCCATTTTGCAGATAAGGAAAGGAGACTCAGCAAGTTGCCCAAGGCCACACAACTGTTGAACACCAGTCAGGAGGAATCCAAGTCTGACTCTCAGAAGCCAAACTTAGGCTAAAAACGGTCTCTAGTTTAGAAAATGTAAACATTATCATCGGCAGATTAAGAAATAGGTTTTAAAATACAGTATTTAGGGGGCACTTGGCTGGCTCAGTCAGGGGAGTGCACGACTCTTGATCTCAGGGTCGTGAGTTCGAGCCCCACATTAGGTGTAGAGATTACTTAAGAAAAAAAAATATCTTTAAAATAAAAAAAATGAAAACAAAACACTGACCAGTCACGGTTCTTAAATTGGTTATTCAGAGTCTGTGCCTTTAACTGGCTGGCAGGAAGTGTCAAGTACTGAAGTGTTAAGTAACTGAGAGGTGGGCAAACGGGTCCTCGTAGTAGGGCCCTGATGGCGCTTAACTACACACTCCCCACATGGAAGTCTGGGGCTGAGCGTTTAGCACGTGGGGCTTCCCCAGGAGGACCCAGGGGCTCTCCCAGCTGGACTTCTCTCCAGGGTGCCCTCTTTGGGACTCTCTATTACTCTGCTCCCATCACTAAGGCTCAGTAGCTGCCGTACTGCCGGCTCTTCCTCCCCCTCACGTTCTTGGCTCATGGCTACTGGTCTCTGCCAGCAAAACCTCTTTTTGGCTTCTTTCCTGGACAACCATTATCTAACCTGGATCTCCCTGTAAGCACCTCAGCATCACTTGCTCAGTATTTTGTGGGTATTCGAGGTTTCTCATGGTGAGCTTGCACCAGCAAACAGACCAATCAAGCAGGACCACATCCCAGAGCCCGGGCGAGCAGGGAGGTGCAGAAAACCCACCCTGATACATTCCTGCACCCCGTCCATTCTTCTTAAGACTCAGAAATGCTAAATACTGCACTCTGCATGCAGCTCCACACTCGCAGAGTTCATCCTGCATTCCAGAACCTTTTCCCGTCTGCTGCACTCCTAAGCACAAACCTTGAGGTATTTTTCCAGCATCTTCACTATGTGTCTGTTGTTCAAAACACTCTTAGCCACATGGAGACTGGTCTTCTTGAACTGTTCAGCAGCCAACTGCAAAGGGAACCAAAGGGACTTTTACACATGGGATGCACAGAGGAGCAAGAACACCAACTAGCCAGGCTCCACTGAGTTGCCCTGGGATCAGCCCAAGACAGAACAAGGACTACCATCTCTCTCCACTGTGGCAAATCCCAAGATGCCAGACTCTAATAAGGAGAGAAAGAAGGCCCTGGAGGGATACCGGAACTGAGACTGTGAGGCAGTGCAGCAAAGTCTGATAAAAGATAAAAAGCACAGGCATGCCACGGATGTCCGGGTCCCGTGTGCATGAGCAAGGATGGAACAAGAACACTTACAGACGACGGGTGCTATGTGGGCTGGGTATGGCAGAAGGGCAAGTTTTTTCTTTTCAGTTTTCGGAGTTATAGTGACCTTACAAGTAAATTCAGCCACAGAAGTAGGAATGCTGCAACCATTTGGCTCTTTTAGAGCTTGACCCATTCAAACGGTAATCCCTTGTCGGTATAGTGCTCTTCGGATGATCTTTCATAAGCTAGCAGGTGCGCGGGCAGGACTAAGGATAGGTGCTGAATCAGGGCTCAGCAAGCTAGAGCCTATGGGCCAAATGCGGCCATGCGCATGCTTTCTATCTGGACTCTGCTGCCTCTGCCCACCAGCAGCGGACCTGAGGTGGTAGAGACCCCGTGGCCTGCAAAGCCAAAAATGTTTGTGATTTGACCCTTTATAAAAGAAAAAAAAATCTGCCCATACCCTGAGCTACACACCTAGCCTCGGGTCCCATCAGCTAATTAGGACCAAATCAGTTAACTCTGGGTCCCCTAGGCCACTGTGTTCTGAATGGCCCTCAGCCTCTGCTCCCAGAAAATCCAGTTTGTCAGCAACTGGGAAACTTACCTGTGTGGTTTACCAAGGAACATTCTCAACCAGGAGAATTTCAACTACTCTATTTAAGTCAACCCTAAGCAACACATTTTTTCACATTTTAGTAGAAACTGGGATCCCTTTTACAACCCATTGATGAAATCACAGACTCGGTGGACTCTGTCAAGAGCTTCTAAAGATGCTAGCATTCCCCACAAGACACAGAAGGCTCTAGGCCCCACTGCTGGCTGCCTGCAGGTGCTCGCCCAGCCCGGCCCAAGGAGGGGACTCACCCTGCGGTTGTGATTGTGGTCCACCGAGTGCAGGTGCCGCTGGAGGAGCTGATGCTGTGCGGGGATCAGCATGTCACAAGCCAGGCAGTGAGCGGCCTCTATCTTCTTGAAAAAGTGCTCCTGGCCAATCCCTGTAGACACAACCCAAGTCTGGTGCGATCTGGGGCAGCAGGCAAGGGATGCTCTCCTCCCGCCCCCCAACAGGGCCCCAATTTTCTGCCAGTAGTCCCGCAGGACCAGGTTAAGACCGAATCTGTGGGGGCCATCACCTGCCCTCCAGCAGGAGTGTGCAGACAGAAGCACCTCTACACCTGGGCATCTGACTCTTCAACTTTTTTCATCCTTCTGGTCATTTTTCTTCACGCAAGGGAGGAAAAAACACCAGAAGGCTTCATGTCAGTCCAATATGCTGCCAGCAGAGCTGTGACATTCATTAGGCCACGCTCACGGGCTTCTTTCCATGGCCAGGCAGCCTGCCTGAGGATCTTCCTGTCCCATTCTCAGCAGCCCTGCGCTGGGCTGGCTTTGCACCCAGCCGCATGCCTTGGCAGCATGTGGAATAGTGTGCCCCAAGATCACAACTCACCTTTGAAAGGATCTGGCTTGGGTTTCGTGCTTTCCTTCTCCATCAACTCCTGACGCCGCTTCTCAATTTTCTTGTTCCTGTTTACGATGTACTCCTAGAGGAGATGGCACCGAATGAAACGAGGACAGCGTGGTGCGTGGGCCTACCTTTCAGCTGCCCCAAGGAAGGGAAAACGGCTCTCAGAGCCGCTCTGTGGGCGGAACTCATGGGGACTGCAATGGCCGGAGCGCTAGGCTCTCCCTCTGACCTGGGACTTGTTCACTGTTATTCTGCAAAGTCCAGGCCTCTTATTTCCCTTCCCTTTCCCTTCTCTGTGAGGGATCCAATTCCTGCACGACCATCAGGAAACACTGTGATTGAGGACGAGGGTGCTTTACCTGGAGGAACTCCACCGTCTTGTCAGGGAGTTTGGTACTGATAAACCTCAGTGTCTCTTTGTGAAATTTGCTTTGTAGATGCTTCTGGATTTCTTCATCTTCAAAGCTACGAAACTTGCACACAGAACAGGCGAACTGAATCCTGGAAAAGGAAGACGGAAAGAATGACGACATAGGAATAACCAGCTCATCTCTGGTTGGAACAGAAATGGAAACAGGAAGCAATTTCTGTACCAAGACTTCTGACTTTGAGTGGGGCATCAGAGTAGCAGATGCCCCAGGTCCCCCCATCCTGAGAATGGGGATGCAATCTTGAAAGTGTTTTAGGAAAACGATTCATGCACCACACCAGTCTTTTTGGCCCAAAGGCCCACAAGAGAACACCCTAAGGTGGAGACTTTCCAAACTGTGGACTCCCTAAAGGCCCCCAGACCACTGCTCTGGGGGGCGTAGTACCTAACTCTGTAACTTCTTTCTGTAGCCACCAAGATAACACACGGGAGCCTCATTTTAATGTGAGGGAGAATTTCCTGAAGACCTTCCACCATCTAAAACTCACAAAACCCAAGATCAATTTTCACACGGGACTCAACATTAAGACCCGTCATATCAAATTCTATGGCTAAAAACTGACGTCTTTGTTGCGTACTTTCAAAACCTCATAAATGCAATCATGCTGTAAGGCAAGGGGAGAGCAGCCCGCAGAGCCTTATGCCTCCAGAGTGGGGCGCTGCTTCCCTCGGCTCTGCCCAGGAGGCTTTGGTGTATCTGGGCTAACGACATGGGTCCCGTGACACTCAGGATTCCTCATCTACCAACTCAGACTTCTGCCGGCTCTCAATGCCTGGCTTCTGACCTCTGGACAAGGCACCACAAAACACCTGCTTTTGCATATACCCTCGACAAAGGAGTGAAAAGAAAAGCTCTGGGGCCCTATATGTATGAATGGGTATCAGGAAGCTACCAAAGAAATGCGGGGTTCGTGCTTCCTGCTGCATCTTTACCTCCCCTGTGACAGTCTCTCCAAGTCTCTCTGAGGGCCCTCTGTCCCTAGGGTGGAGTCTAAAGACTCCTTCCGGAAAAAAGTCATCTCAGTTCTCCTGGGGCATGAAAATAATCTGATCTAGCCATCATGTATTCATCTGTTTGAAAACAAGCGTTTTGATGAATTTCTGTTTAGCACTTGGAAGCTCCTACCTTCTAATTCCTGGCTTTCTTGCTCTACTGTTGGCTTTTTTGCTAACATTTCTTTTTTTTTTTTTTAAAGATTTTTACTTATTTGACAGAGAGAGCGAGAGAGAAGAAGCAGTAGAAGGAGAGGGAGAAGGAGGCTCTGCGCCGAGCAGGGAGCCTGATGCGGGGCTCAGATCCCAGGACCCTGGGATCATGACCTGAGCCAAAGGCAGACGCCCAACCATCTGAGCCACCCAGGCACCTCAGTTTCTTTTGCATTTCTTTGCGCAGAAAAAGCACCACCCCATCTGAGCCTTAAGGGCAAGGATTCCCCCTTAAGTCAGGAGAGCCTGTGTGTGGAGAAAAACCACATGTGGTCAAGGCCTGAGCAACCAAGGGCTCCTGTGGCCACCAGTGGTTTACATTTCTAGTCAGCAGTCACCTGATCACCGGAAAGACAAGAGAGGCACATGGTGTGGTCACACCAACATCCTTTGTGCTTTTGCAATTCTTTTTCTATCTAGAGACAAAATCTGTAAGGTAACATCCATGCGTATATAATTGCCATGTTGAACTCTAGAGGTGGTCTGGGTTTGGGTAAGGCACCCAAAGCACCTTCTTAGCAGCTTTGCTGAATGAAGTTCACTTGTCTGGGGTGACAGATCCAAGCCAGGGACAAGGAAACTCCCCACAGGGGAGGAGAGCAAGAGAGCCCCCTGCTGGACACATGTGGGCCACGGAGACCCCCTGGCAAGAACAGATGCCATCTGTGTTTCCCAGGTTTTGTCTCCTCACGACCTGACTCGATTTCCTGACAGACTCCAGAGGCAGATCAAACCAGGCTGCTCCTGCATTGTGGAGTGACAACGGATGAGCTCTGGAGAACCCTGACACTTCCCACCTTGCCTGCCTCCTCACCTGTCAGCTGCTCGGTCTCGCATCCGGTCTCTCCTCCTTTGCTTTTCTCTTCTCTTCTTTACTTCATCATCCTCATCGTCCTTCTCCCCTGCAACAGAGAAGTTCCTTCGAGATGCCCTGAGGAGCCCGCAGAGGAGCTGAGCACCAGGGCCTTGATGGGGGGGGCCACAGCTCGGCCACCACACCCCGTACCTGCCGCTGCCTCTGCACGGCAGGGTCAGGACACCCTGAGGCACCAACAGTCTGTCAAAGGCTCCCAACAGGGATGGGCCTTTGATGAGAACCCTTGGGAGTTCCCAGGGAGTCACCTTACTTCCCCCCCATGGCCTGCTAAGGCTGGGATGGGCCAGGGACCCAGCCCGCCCATCCCGCTCACACCATGGCCCACCTGCTCTCTGTCCTTTTCTATCCTGCTTTTCCAATCCAATGCCCTATCATTGGGTCTTCTCCCAAAGTCACTTAAGGAGAGAGAAGCAGTTCTTCCCAGATAAAGAGGCAGCAGCTGGAAGGCCTCAGAAAATAAAGCAAGCCACTCTACCGCCCTCCGTCCCACCTCCAGGTGGACCATGACGACTGTCCCGTCAGCCTCCTCTGAACTAGGGCCTCAGCAGGTCTGACAGTCCTTGCTGGCCCAAACTCTATCTTCCACTCACAAAAACCGTCCATCTAGGGTCTTCCCAGGGCTACGAGGGAAGCAGTCCTAGAAACAAAAGTGGGAAGAGACCAACTGGTCCTCCGTCGCCCCCTGGGGCCAGCGCAGGAGCTCCTCCGAGAGCCGTGCAGCCCAGCGTCCCAGCGTGAGGCCAGACACTGAGGAAAGGTTGGATAAGCATCTGAACTGTAACCCCTACCCCTGATGCCAGTCACGAGACTGTCCCACGAAGATGGCGACCGGCGTGCGCTGCTCAGAAGCCTCTCAAAAGGGCGTGTGGGGTTTTTGGCAAGAGGTCACTGCCTGAAACTATTACTGCTGTTTAATAGCAAAGTCATCCCGGGTAGGCAGCAGGACCTGTGCGCAATAAACATGTCACCTTTGCTTTAGCATTTGCCCTGCTGCACGAGCTGCTAAATGCTCTGTGTGGTCCCAAGCTACAGGCATAACTGCTTCAGTATTGAGGTGGGAGGACCTCGGCGGGTGGCTGAACACACGGGAGAAGGAGCATCTAAGCCAGGGGCCTGCAGATTTACGGGGGCAGAGCCACAAAGGAGTCGGCCTGTGATTCCTGGGGAGACCAGCTATGGGACAGACCCATGGGAACAGGAAAAGAAACAAATGGTTTTTGGGTGAGCTCAAGGCCACGCTGTCTCATGCTACTTCTCCATGGCCCCTCGAAAAGGTTTAACTTTGCTCTGCTCTTGCTGCTTACTTTGGACTCTTAGGTCCCCTGGAAGGGCACTGTGAGCCCTGCTGAGCAAGGATAGTCTCTGGAGGATCCCGGGCTTGGGTGTACCTGACAGGTCTCCCCTCCCCCCACCCCCAGCTCCCAGCCGGGGCAGGTGTCTGAACTCCGTCCCACATGGCAGGGAGCACTGCCGCAGCCGGCATTCCCACCACAGAGGCTGAGGGCACAAGCCTGGGCTGGTAACCGAGGAAACTGCGAAAAGAAAGAAGCCCAGGAGAAGACGGTACAGGGACCTGCACTGGCCAGTAGGTAACAGAGAAGACGGGCTGAAGGGTGCCTTTTCTTTTCTTTCTTGCATTTCTGAGACTCTCCCTTCCCTATCACTGCAAGCTCTTGCAGACACTCAGAAATGAGGTGTTCCCCCCCGCCCCGCCCCCAGCCTGCCATCAAGTGAGGCAAACAGACCTGTTTCCAGCAAGTGCCGGTATAAGCATTGGAGTAAAGCCTCAAGGTGAGCACCATGGCCAAGGCCCACCCGGTGGCCATGGCCCCTCTTCTGCCCTGAGCTATCAGTCCCCTCCATCCAGGCTCCAGGCTTGCTCAGAAGGCCAGCCAGGCTGGGAGCTGAGCAGACACAGGAAAGCTCAAAGGGACACCAAACAATGCCTACCTCTCTGCCTCCCGGGGTCGAAGAACTCATCCTCCTGAAAAAGGGAACACACAAAGTCGGGACTATGAGGTGGAGTTTCCAGAACTCTCCACAAACGACCCAGCACCCTGCTACCACCTGGTCACAATGTGTCAGGACAAGTCCCAGGACAGTGGGAAAGGCTGGGTGTGTCCTGTCACTGCTCCTGGTTGCCTTCTGAGATTCTGTAATGACCGACGTGCTTTTTAATTAAAGTCACTGGCCCTTTCCCAGTTCTTTCTACAGCTAAAGAATTGCCCTTGGCAAATGTGCACCTGCACAGTTCTGCAGGTGGGAGTGCCAACAGCCCATCCATCAGCTCTATGTCAAGAAACCCCGACCGGTAGGATGCGAAAAGGGGCTTTACCACATTCCCCAACCATCTGTACATATTTACCAAAGGCTGTAACGAAACAGGTGTAGATTAAAAAATGCATCTAACTGAAAATCAGAACACAGCCCATTTCTTAGGCATTGAGCTCAAGATTAAATAAGTCACCAGCAGAGACACAAAAGATACCCAGACTCAAGATCTAAGCAAATCAAATAGGGAGCGAGTGAGACCCTCCCCCTCCCCCACCTGACTATCAGAAGCACTTGGTCGAAGCCTTCATACCCAGGTCTCCAGGCCCTACCCCAGACATGGATCAGAATGTGCAGGGGCGGCAAAGGCTCACCACCTAGTGCTCGTGCATGGTCATGGCTCAGAGCTGGCCTTTAACACCCGTCTCCCGTGGCTGGCCCTAAGGGCTGAGTGACGAGGAGCACCAGAGCACCAGCACAGAGCCGGCAAGACCGGAATCCTCAGTGCGTATTCGAAAGCCCCCGCCCACACAGCCCACTGCACTTGCCACGCGTGTGGCTATGCACGTCACTGAGGACTCAGGAATGGCTGGGGCTATTTTCAAGAAGAGAAGGATTATCATGAGTGCAAAACTCTTAGAAAACTAGCTACAAGGCAGGCTACTAAATCCACTCGCAAAGCAGTTAAGTCTACCACAGAAGCTGCTCCTGCCTCTTTGGGAGAAAGAGGCTAAAGTAAAGAAGAAATCCCACACCAGAGAAACAAAGAAGGGTGACCAGTGAAGACAGACTTACACCCCTGAACTCTTCATCTCCTGACCGGAAGTCAGCAGCTCCATCATCTACCAGACACAAAGAAGAGGGAAAGTCAGCCCCTTGGGACTTGGCCCACTCTGTTTCACCCTCCCAGGCTCACTGTCCAGAGTGACCGCGCTTGTCCTGACTGCAGTGGGGGCCGAGGGAGCATGGGCAGGCAGAGCACCAAGCAGGAAACAGATTCATCTTACACCCACCCAGGGCCTACCGTTTTCAGAAAAATCTCCTTCGCTGTCAGCCCTGGCCAGTTTGGCATCCGGCTCATCGTAGATCTGCAACTGCTTCCGTTTCCTGCCCATGCCATCCGGGCCACAGCGGTCAAACCCTCTCCGCCTGGGCTACGGACACAAGCACATCTGATGTACCGCTTACCCGGACCATTTAGACAGCCCAGACAAACAAGAAGAGTGGAGAGGTTGCAAGATCAGAGAACAGAGGCAGAAAAGATCTTTTCAGAAAATAAAGGGAGATGACATAGTTGAACCCTGCCCGCTCCCCCAGTTTCATGCCGAGCAGAAGTCAGACACAAGAGGCCACATGTTATACGATTACATTCGTATGAAAGGTCTGGGAGAGGCAACTCTACAAAGACAGAAAGCAGATTAGCACTTGCCAAAGCTGGAGGCGAGGATGGGGAGTGACTGCTAATGGCAGAGGTTTGTGTCTTTTCCAGTTGGTGGAAATGTTGTAAAATTAGATGGTGGTGAAGGCTGCACAATTCTGTACATTTTTTCTAAAATTCGATTGTGCACTTAAAAATGAGCAAATCTTACAGGATACAAATTTGCCTCTATTCAGCTGTTTGAAAAAGCAGATTAGAACTTCCCGAAGGCTTACCCGATCCCTTATCCGGGTCTGTGACCGGCCACATCCATAGGGCACCGAGTTGTCATAACCGCCAGCCCCCTGCATGCCCATCACACCGAAGTCAGGGGCCATGGACTGGGAGAACAGGGAAGGAGGTGGCCGGCTGGGGGAGGGGCCTCCCAGGCCCCGCCCACCCACATAGTTCAGCTCAGTCCAGGGAGCAGACAGGGGCTCGGAGGAGGCTGCAGGTGGCACGTAAGGGTCGCTGCGCATGAAGGTGCTGGGAGTGCTCCGGTCCTGGAAGCGGCCCTGGCCCTGGCCCCGGCCCCGCATGAAGCCATCAAGGGAGCCCCGCTCACGGGCTGGGTCCCGGCAGTCGCTATACTGACTGTTAAAGCCACCATTTCGGTCAGGCCCCAGATCAAAGTCATAATCGTAGCTATAGCTGGGGCGATAGGAATGGTGCTCGGGGAGGCAAGACCTGGAGTCATAGGACTCGAACGACTGGAAGCGGAAGGAGCTGCAAAGGAAGCATAACCGTCACTACAATCCAGGTACAAGCCCAAGTGTCCTGCAAAGCTGGGTTCCCTATGTTCAGAACAGCACACCACCACATAGCCCTCCTCAATGCTTGGAAGGCACAACAGACAAACCCCCTTGAATGCTGCTGAATGAGGTACATGGAGCCTTGGCCACAAGAACGAGAGGGTCTACAGGCACCTGATGCAGAAATGAGAAGTCTAGCGCTAGCACAGTTTAGCTAAGCCCCACCACCCCGGACACCAACTAGTCCCATTACAATGCCTCTGCCCCAGTAACTGCCCAACTCATCTACTCCACACTCAAGAGGGAGCTGGGGAAAAGCCCTCCCTGGAAGAGGGGCTGCCCACTGCCAACTGCACAAAGCTGGGGCGTTGGGGGGGATCCCCAGGGAAGGGTTCAGGTCCATAATCACCTCTCCCGGTCCTGCATGCCCTCCCCACCGCCGCTGCTCCCGCCCCTGCCTCCTTCCTTGGACATCATGTCCAAACGCTGGTTGATCTTGGCAATGAGGGAGTCGGAATTGCTGGTGCACGGCTCTGGGCCATAAGAAGCCATGTGCACAGCAGGGCCCCCAGCTCCCAGGCCATCGCTGGCCTTGGTGGCCTCCCACGAGGCTGGGCCATAGCTGTAGGTCGCTCCTGTGGTGACGCTGGTGTTCTGGGCACCATAATAATTGTAGTTTTCATAACCTGCCGTAGGGAGGAAGAGCCAAATCAGATCTCAGTAGCCACAAGGTCAGTCTATGGCAGCCACGTCTGGGGAGAAGCACCCACTACCCATACAGAAGGAAGAGTGTCAAGGAATCCAGTGTTGCTGGCATCACCCCACATCGTGCACATCACCTGCCAAAAGGCAGCAAGAGAAGGGCAGGTGCGCAGCCTCAGCAGTGAGCCGCGGGCTTTCCGTGCCAGATCCAAAGTCTTGTTCCCACCCAAAGCCAGAGGAGGCTGAGAGCCCACGAGTGGCAGTGGGGGCTGCCGCTCCAAGAACACAGCCACAACCCCCAGCCTCCAGCAAGTTCTCCTTGAGAATGCCCGGACCTCCAAGCCTTCAGGAGAGCTAGGGGCACAGCTAGAATGGGAGATGGGTATGGGAAGTCCCTGCATCCCAGCCCTTCTGGGTGGCTGACCGGAGGAACGTCTTGCCCACCCACAGACACCCAGAGGCCTACCTTGCCAGCTGGCCACACCAGTTCCGTAGGCACCTTAGAGGGAACAAAAACACACAAGAGCTTTGTATACAGAGTGAAGGTACCTGAGATAGCCCCTGCCAATCGTCACCTCCACTATCTGCAGGGCCAGGACCGCGGGCGGCTGTGGCACTGCTGGGGGAGGCACCCCTGGTTGTCCATCAAGGCCAGGAATGGCTGGGCCCACGAGCTGTAAAACTCATTTCCTACGGTGTACTCAGCTAAGCATGACCAAGATTCTCTCATAGACAAGCCTCATCTCCCCAGCAGGACAAGCAGAAAGGACGCTGCGGCGTCCCCAGGAAGTGTCCAGTGTGGGCCACCAGCCAAGAGGCCAGATCCCCTGGCAGAGCCCTTCAAAGTGCCAGTCCTCGCCAGTAGCCAGAACTCAGGCACCACTAACACAGACAATACATCAGTGGAAAATCATGTCCCCAACTCAACTGAACAAGGGGACATTATGTACCCTAGTGACATGGAAGGCCTCCTCCTGGCAAACTTGGTGATGGGTGAAAAAGTGACCCCACCACCCACAGTGGTGCTAAGGGCAAGTTCCAGGCTCAGCAAACAAAGAGAGCCCTCATCCCATCCCCTGGAACAAACGCTGGCAAAAAGCAGAAAACCTCACCACCAGGGAGGACATTCTGGTCCTTCAAACATAGAGCATCATGATCTAGATTCCAGAGCAGGGGCAGCAATCAGGCCCCCATGCCAAATCTAGCCCATTGCCTTTTTTTGTACGGCCAACAAGCTAAAAATGGGTTTTACTTTTTTAAATGGTTGGGAGATTAAAAAAAAAAAAAAAAGAATATTTCATGACATGAAATGCATTCTTTGCGTCGTCCTTTATATACTTGTCAAAACTCACAAAACTGCGCAACCAATGACTATTAACTGTGAATCATAACTAACAACAGAGTATCAACACTGACTTGTTACTGACAATAAATGTATCCCACTAACGGAAGACATTAATAATAAGGGAAACTCCTGGGGTGAAAAGTAGAGGGGGGCATATGGAATCCTGTATTATCTGCTCAATCCCACAAGTCTAAAATTATTAAAAAATAAAGTCTATCAATCATAAAAATCTTCCATTAAACCCTCGGCTATTTACTTAGAATAACCCAAATTCCTCAAATAAAGACTATCACATATGAAAATTATATGGTATACAAATTTCAGTGCCCTCAAGTAAATATCACCGGCACACAACCCCATCTATTTCTTTATAAACATCTGTGACTTTTGCATTGCAGAGACTGTGTAGCTCCCAAAGCCAAAAAAATTTTACTATGTAGCCCTTTACAGAAAAGGTCTCTGGATCCCCCGGCTAGTCCCAGTCCTCTTGTCAGCCTCTCCAGGTCACAGTTCACCATTCCTAGGTTTGTCATGGTAGTACCTCAGATCACACCTCTGGGGGTGGAATCCGTGCCTCCCCATACGGTCTCACCTTGGGTGTTGGTGGGTCCAGCACTCCATGCCCCATAGCCTGTGAAGAGAAGAACTGTGAGTTAGGATCCTATTTGTCACACTAGACAACAGGTGCTTCTGAGATGTTCCGAGGAGTCAAAAGTGAGCCCCTTGAAGGAGAGTTCATGCCGGTCTCACAAGGCAGCAGAACGACAATGTCCCTCTAAAAGTCCTTCACAGTTGGTTGACTGCATTACCATACTCCATCTGCCTGAGGTCCAAGCAGCAAAGAGCTGGGGGGACTTGGCTTTGAGGGACCTTGACCTAAAGTCTCAACCCACAACTCAAGAGAACACAGGACAAACCTACAGCTGGCCCAGTAGTAGGACACAGTTGTGTCCGCACCCCTGGGCAGTTTGGCTCACCAAGCAGCCTTAAGTCCCCCATAACCGAAAAACAAAGTTCAGAATTTTTGAGACAACAGTGTCTTTGTAAGCCTCATTTCTTTGTGTTTTGGACCCTCCAAAGCTCCCCCGGGTCTTCAAGTCCCAGGGCTTCAGCCTTCTCTCGTGGTGGCTTCCCTTGCCCCTGCGGACTCCCATGACAGCATGTCTGGGCCCTCTTCATCTCTGTGTCCCTGGAACCTCAAAACAGAGCTGGGCACAGGCTGCTATCCACACCTGTCAACAATCCCCAACATTACAGAAACAGGAATACACCCTGTCTCTCTTACCAGAACCCAAGCCACTAGCTAAATGTCCAGGGTGTGCCAACACACAACAGGCACTGAGCACACGTTAGTGTCCCTGAATGCCATTTACAGATGAGAGAGCTAATGCTTAAAGGTTAGGGGACTTGATCCAAAGACACGCTGCTGCTGTTTGCCCTCTGCAGGCCAGTCTCCCCATGCCACACAGCCTGCTACGTGTGTGAGGTAGAAAGACGGAGCAGTGATTCTATCAGCAAATGACCAACTACAGGGCACTAGTCTAAATAGCATATGTTAATCACATAACCTCACAATGCCCCTTTAGATGGGTAATATTTACCCTGTTGTACCCAGAGGCTCAAGTAGCTAGTTGCCACTTGCCCATGATCATGATTCAGCTGGAGAATGGAACTGGAACGTGAACTCCGATCTAGGTGCCTCCTACAGCCAGAGAACAACTGTCAAGGCTCAGTAAGTTCTGAGAAATAACCCTAGGTGGCAAAGCTACAGAAGGATTCAGGGAGGCCCAACCATCTAAACTGAGCCTGAAGGGTTTTGGCAAACAGGAAAGGAGGGGAATAAAACCTCTTCATGCTCAGGGTGTGCGTGGGGCAGGATTACTGTCTGAAAGATCTGGTGGGAAGTTGGCAAAGAATTGTGAGACCCGGTCAGACTGCAGAAAAGACCGGAAAAGGCAGGGTGCGGTACGCCAGGACCCTGGAGACACCCAAGCACACTCTGCACCTCAGGACCTCTCGCAATTCCTGCTGCTGGATCCTAATACGGCCACCTTTCAAGATCTGTGCTCTCTCCAGCTGTTACAGCCAAGATCAGACTGCTTGCTTCCCCAACCTCATATACTTGGATAAGGACTGCACCTGGTCAAGCCCTACCCCACGTATTCCAAAGTTCGACTGCTCCCTGCGGGCAAACCTGGCTTCCAGCACAGAGTGAAAGCCTCCTAGGAATCTCTGATTCTGGATTCTGAGACTGGGTCGCTCGAGAAGATCCGTCCTGCCGCAGGCCCCCGAGGCCCAAGGGGCACATTCCCTTTTTCACAGCCCTCAGCCCCCTCCACGCCCTCTCCCCCCCGCCCCGCGCACATCAGGTTTCCAACTTTGCGCAGAAAAATACCCAACACCTGACCCCCGAAGTCTTGTCCCTAGGCCATCACGAGTCATGCACAGGGCAGGAGCCCGCCGAGACTGACCCCTGCACAGGCCGCGCTCAACACCGCTGCGCTGCATGGCGGGGCTGGAGATGAGAGGTCCGACCCCGCGCGGCCTGGACGGCTTCCGGGACCGGCGCGACGGACCACGTGCACCGCGCGCAGGCCCCCGCCAAGCCCCACAGCCCGGAGACAGGCAGCCGAACTCCCTCGGCCTCCAACCGCGGACCCCGGGCCCCACGAGCTCTCGCTGTGGCTCCGCCCCCGGGCGCCGCCATTTTGTGGTCTTCTGAAGGGGAAGGCGGGCCTCCGAGCGGCGGGGTCGACCGGCCCAGCCTCGCCGGGGCTGAGGGGCAGAAACGGCCAGGACAGCCCAAGGCGCCCCCCGAAGCCCGCCGCAGCGTCTGCCCGCCAAACCCCGCCCGCCTCAAGCCTCGCCGGCCAATCCGCATGCAGCGCCCCAGGAGCGACGGCTCCGAGGTCCAATGAGCAGCGCGCGCGCGCGCCTAGGCCTCCTCTCCGCTGGGTCGGGTTGGAGTAACCGCGCTCTGGCGTAGGCCCGGGCCCGCGGCCTTCTACGGAGCAGGGGCTGCGTTGTCCAGGCAGCGCCCGTCCGCCCCACCCCGCATTGAATCACCCAAACGAACCTCCGTAGCCCGGCTCCATATCTTCAGCTCGGCCCGCCAGCAGCCCCTTTTTCTAGGCTGCCACAGAACGCATGCGCTCAACACACCTTCCGCTGTCCGCTACTGGAAGACCAGAAGCATACGTCACTCTTTCTGCACACCACCATTGGCTGGCTTTCACTGCGCACCCGCCCCTGTCGCCCCAGCGGGCCTTCCGGTTGCTTGGGCTCGGCTTCCACAGCATCTTGGGAGTTTTGGTGCGGCCACGGAGTCTTACTGCGCGCAGGCGCTCCCGTCTTCCTTCCCGCCGCCAGTGCGCAGGCGCACTCCCACCCTTTTCTGGGTCCCGCGCGGAGGCGCCTGCCGCTCCTTCCTACGCTTACCGTGTTGCATACCAACAAACTAACGAGAAATAAGTGGGATGGGAAGAGCTTTATTAGGCTCGGCTTCCAGATATGGCCACGCGGGTCCTGCCCGCCCGGAGCCCGGGTTACGGTGCGCCCCCGCCACCCTCCTCGTCGTCGTCGGCCTCCACATCGAGGCCCGGGATACCGCGGATCTGGCGCTGAAGCGCCCCGCCCAGCAGGGGCACGGCCTCCTCCTCTTCCTCCTCCGGGGGCGGCGGTGGTGGTGGGGACGCGGCCCCGGGGGCCGGCTCCGGGGGCACTGGGGGCTGCGCCGGCGCGCCCTCTGCACCCTCCGCACCCCCTGCCGCGTCGACCAGCGCCCCCTCGTCCAGGGCGCCGCCCTCGGCCTCCTCCTGTTCTTTCTCCTCCTCGGGGCTATCGGTGAACGGGTTCTCACCCTGTGGGGAAGGAGGCGAACGCTGAAGGGAGGGAAGGACCCGCGGGGGCCGGGGGCCAGGGGCCGGCGCGCCTCACCTTCAGGTAGCGCTCCAGCTTCTTGCTGATGATTTTGTTGTTGAGGATGCTGCGGGCCACCATGAGCGAGGACTTCTTGGACTGCTCCATCATGAGCTGCAGGCAAGGCAGGTAGGGCTGGAGAGGCTGGTCTGGGCGCCAGAAAGCCCCCCTCCCCCACCCCACTAGATCTGCGGAGCCCTCCCAAACCCCCCTGCCCCGAGCTCAGCACAGCCAAGCACTCTAACCACGTGCTGAAAGTGTACAAGTGTACCTTGGGTGCAAGCGTAGGGCCACTCTACAAGCACGGAGCCAAGACCTGATCTGATCTTTGCTCGAATGCTCCATTCTTCCACACCATACGTACTGTGTGTAATTGATTAAAGACATACGTCTTTACAGCTGTACAGCAGAAATCTGATGTGCTTACATAAAAACTACAAACAGTGAACAAATTAGGAAACCTAAAAGCCAGAGGTGCAACCCATAACAAGAAGCCAACTGCCCATATGCAAGGAACTCTTTAGGATCAACAGGGAGGATATAAGAGCAGGAATACAAATGCCAAACAGTACATTTAAGTGATGTACCTCCTTTTAACCCATAGAATTCCCAGGATGAAGAATTATACCCCAAATGGCAAAAGTGAAGAGAGACCGTTCTACCCTGACGATGACAGGGTCAACTGTTTACTTACTTTCTGGGAAGCAGTCTGATAAAATGTATCAAAAGTAAAAGTGTCTCAAAAATTTGTCTCAGTAATTCTTTACAAGACTCTAGCCTAAGTTTAAGACTTGGAAACATTCATGCACATAGTTGAAGTAGTGAAAAACTGGAAAGCACCTAAAAGTTCTGTGAAGTAGTTAAATAAAACATTCAAAAGAACACCATGCAGATAGGGCTCATCTCTGGGGCTAAATCGGTTAGACGACTGACATCTCTGGGGCTAAATCGGTTAGACACTGACTTTTCAGTTCAAGTCATGATCTCACAGGGTCTGGTCCTAGGATCAAGGCCCGTGTGGAGTTCTGCACTCAGCGGGGAGTCTCCCTCTCCCTCTGCCCCTCCCCACCGCTTGTGTGCCCTCTCTCTCTGTCAAGTAAATAAAATCTTATAAAAAAAAATAGGGCTCAGCTCCTCCTGTGTTCTGAGAAAGGTGTGTGATGGGCCAGTTTGCACAACATGCCAGAGCCTTTTTGTCTGGAAGGATTTACACGGAAATGCTAACTGGTTTCCTCAATGGTTTAAGCACAGGCAAATCTCACTTTCATCATTATGAAGATAATGTATGTGTAAAGCCATAAGCTGAAAGAAGATGATAAAAGCCATTTTTGTTGGCATGGGGGAACCCACCCCCAGGAACCCTACGGCTGCACCCCAGCCAACTCTTTACATCATCCTCTCACTTGCTGTTTCTATTCCCTTTTCCCACATTCACCTTTCTTTCTTTACTCATTTTCTCTACTATTTGGGGAAAATATGGATAGCCCTCATGCATGATCAAAATCAAACAAGTTAAAGATGCACAATTAGGATGCTAGGTCAGACCATTTCCTCTGCACCTCCTTACTTGCCAACACATGATCCTCCTCCCTTGTAGGCATAGAGATGGACACACAACTCCCAAGGGAAGCCCACTTAATGGTTTCAAAATTTTTGCTACAAGAACCAAACACCACCAGAATAAACTTAAATACTTCCATGTTGGTGCTACCCAACAGGTTCCCCAAAGTGATGGTGCCTCAGTACTCTGCAAAAAAGTTGTATTAAGTTACAGTAAGTTGGCTTCCTCCACCTGTATTAAAACAATGTACTTATCCTTTTGCCTCCTCAGCAGCATCAGGTGTTACTACTGTTGGATACTTTTGTGGTTGAAGGAAAGAAAAAAGAAGGATGAGGCCTCTTGTGGCATTTCCCGCCCATTAGTGAATGTGAGCGATCTAATACACACATGGGGCCACCTGCCCAGCATTCTAGGAGGTCATCTTCTCCACGACCTCTGGGTTTCCTGGCTTGCTCAGGAAGGCTTTCTGTAACCTTAAGGTAAACAATCTTCTTTTTTTTTTAAGATTTTATTTATTTATTTGAGAGAGAGACTGAGATAGAGAGAGCATGAGAGGGGGGAGGGTCAGAGGGAGAAGCAGACCCCCCGCTGAGCAGGGAGCCCGATGCGGGACTCGATCCCGGGACTCCAGGATCATGACCTGAGCCGAAGGCAGTCGCTTAACCAACTGAGCCACCCAGGCGCCCAAGGTAAACAATCTTCTAAATTTTGCTCTTTTATTTTTCACATTATTTCTGGAATTTAATATATGGTGGGAGGTTAGGGGTCCAGCTTTTTGTCCCAGAAATTAATGAGATAAATTGTTTCTCCATTAAATTGACATATGGGTCTATAATAATCCCTTCTCCACAAATCTGAAATCCAGAGGAAGAGTTTTCTCCTAAGCTCCATTGTGTATGTATGTATATACATATGTATATATTTATAAGATTTTATTTACTTATTGGTCAGAGAGAGAGCGAGCACAAGCAGAGGGAGAAGCAGGCTCCCCGCTGAGCAAGGAGCCTGATGCGGGACTCGATCCCAGGACCTTGGGATCATAACCTGAGCCGAAGGCAGCCACTTAACCAACTGAGCCACCCACGCGTCCCTCCATTGTGTTTTTATACCATCTTTATTTATCCCACTTACATAAGTCATTTGAGGCATTATTGATGGCTCAACTACAAGTCATTTTCCCAGGTCCCACTAGGGATGTTAGTGATCATTACCATGTAGCTGTTCTGAAATCCAAAAACTAATTTGAAAACATCTGGCCCTAGAGTTTCAGATAAGGAACCTGTACTGACTTTGACAATTACTAAGTTCCAAAACATACTGGCATCTTTCATTAGACTCTATTCTGGTTCCACTGCTTTATTACTATGCCAATATCACTTTTTGTTTTTAATTGCAGTGGCTTTGAAAAAAGTTATATCTGCTAAACCAACTCCCTGAACTCAATTACCACCGTTTCTATAATTTTCTTGACTGTTGGGGCGCCTGGGTGGCTCAGTTGGTTAAGCATCTGCCTTTGGCTCAGGTCAAGATCCCAGGATCCTGGGATCGAACCCCGCATCGGGCTCCCTGCTCCGCGGGAAGCGTGCTTCTCCCTCTCCCACTCCCCCTGCTTGTGTTCCCTCTCTCGCTGTGTCTCTCTCTGTCAAATAAATAAGTACAATCTTAAAAAAAATTTTTTTTTCTTGGCTGTTGTTAGACTTAATTCTACAACATAAACTTTAAAGCAATTTCATCCAGTCCCCCTCGCCAGAATATGACTGGAATCCCATGAACTGTCCACACTAATATGGGGCGATGTAGTGTTTGTTTTGTTCTGCTATTAAACCTCCTATGAAGAACACCATTATTACTCTATTCATTGAATTCTTATTTCCTATCCTTGGCGTTTCTTCTTAAATCTATATTCTTAGTTATTTTATACACTTTATGGTTACTGTGAGTAGATTTTTCCCCATTTTCATTTTTAACTGGGTATTACCAGAATGGAGAAAGGCTATTACTTTCTGGTATTATCTTGAATTCCACTCCTTTATTACATTCTGTTAATTCAAAGACCATTTTGTTGGAATCATTCAGCTTTTCTAAGAATATAATCACGTTATTTGCATATAAAGTTTTCATTTCTAGCATTTCATACTGATACTGTTGCTAATTTCTTACTGAACCATCCTTGTATTCCAGAAACAAACTTTACTTATAGTGTAGTACACAGTTGAATCACTACCAGATTGGTAATTACTAATATTATACTTAACACATTTATTCTTTAATAATAAACTAATCTACAGTTTCATTTTGGCATTATCCTTATCAGATTTTTGGAATTAGGTTTAAAAATCTTGCTAAAAACACATCAGAGGATAGACTTCCAGCATGACAACTTGAGAAGCTACGTGAACCTACTCCCTAGTGAAACTGATGAAGACTATAGAACAACACAACCCTTTAAAGTCAAAGGAAAAGGTCCTAAGGACATACAGCAAATGAAGAAACACTGAGTAATGAAAAGCTACCAGGCCCAGGTTTTACCAAGGGACAGGCCTTAAAACAGTGAGCTCCCAAATCTCTTTCCAAAGGAACTTACTTTATTCACAAGTGTGTAAGGAAGTTCAAGACAGAGGGCTCTCTCAAAACAGTGGAGGGTGTGGGGAAAAGCAATTAAAAGGAGACCGGTAGATTTGATACTAATATAAGCTAAACCATCAGCTGTCCCCGTTACCAGAGAGAACCAATAAAACAGCTAAGAAG